TCCTTAAAGGCCTTTGCAACACCTGTCTTGGAGCTACTCAGCTGAGAATTCCAGGAAGTCATCCTAATCTAAGTCCATCCTGGTTAGTATTTAATTAAAACTTGCTTCGAATTTGGCTCAAAATTGTAGAACTGGTTTTTCTCTGGTGAATCTCAGGATTAACAATGACCTCCTTTGAACTAAAATTTCTTCCACCCACTTCCTTTGTTCCATTAGGAATTCTTAGTACATACCTTTGGCCTTGCAGAAGGAAGGGGCTCTGAGTTTTCTATTATCCCTGTCCCCAGCCATAGCCATACTTGAAGTGTGTAACAAGTAGTTCCTGCTAAAGAGAGTGCTTTTTATGAAGTCAAATGCAGAAACCAGCATTACCTCAGCCACATTTAGAGCCAGTCTGACTAACATATTCCCTCAGAATACTATCTGTCACATTCCTGCAAAGAATCAAAGGAGGCTGGGATTCCTTTATTGTTTTACTTAGTAATGAGTAAAAGAATTTCTAGTCCTGAAATGGAAAAGTGGTTTTAAAAATTAGCTGGGGCTGGGGAGATGGCTCAGTCAGTAAATTGCCTGTAGTGAAAACACAAGGGCATCTATGAATTTGGATTTCTAGAACCCATGTAAAAAGCTAGAGGCGGCAGTGCGTTTCTGTAACTGTTGGACTGGGGTAAGGCAGAACCCTGAAGCTCACTGGCCAGCCAGTTTAGATGAATTAGAGACATTCAGTGAGATGAAAAATAAAGGTGGAAAGCTATTTAGAAAAGACTCTTGATGTCAGACTTGTGTCTCCACATCCACACTAATCTATGCTAACACACACACACACACACACACACACATACACCCCAATCCAACCAACCAATTAACCCCTCCCTCCCATTATTCACAAACATTGTGATATGATTTATATCTTTATTTGTACCATATCCTCACCTTAGCAATTATTGTCTTCAGAGTCCTGAATGCTCAGCCTCATTTTATCCTTTCAGGGTTGCTGAGCCCACCCCTCATGCCCTCACTAGCTCTTGTTTTCTGTAGCAATTGCTTCACTTCCATTCCAGTTTTCAGTAGAAGTATTTGTTTCAAGAGTACTATTTGGAAGCAATATATATATATGTGGACCTGGGGAGATGGTTCAGTGTAACAGTACTTGCTACTCTTACATAGGACTGGGATTCAGCTCCAAGCATCAACATTTAATGAATCACACTCCAGTTCTAAGGGATCCAGTTCTCTATTATGGCCTCTCTTGGCACCAGGTTTATACATGGTACACATAGGCACAAACGTACACTCAAAACAAAACAAAAATAAATCTTAACAACCCCTCTCCCAAAATCATCAGCAATGATGTTTCTCTAACTTGGTTCATTTTCATTGCGTATGCCTAAAAATTTATTCATTCCTTAACCTTGGAGTTGTATATCCCTTTGCCAATGGGACTACCTTCTCTTACCACCAAAGATAGCCTGGTTGTGAGCCTATACTGTTCACTACACACCAACTATATGGCCTAAAACTTCCCCCTCCCTCCAAGATCAAGTCAAGGATCTTCACTCTGCCTTGTGGATTGTTTTGAGCTCTCCTCAGGGCCCCTGCCATGCTGTGGTCTATCTATATGCTTATGGTGTTATTAATTTCTCTAATAAATCTCTTGCCCCAAAAGACAGTCCTCATCAATGTCCCCCTTGAATCCAGTCTGAAACCTTTCACTTAGTTTGTTGTTATGTAAGTTAGGGGCCCTTTTTGGGAGGCAGTAATTGTTTCTAGCCTCTTTATTGAGGTCTGTTTTTTTCTTTTGTTGTTGTTCTGCAGCCTGAACAAATCAGAATGATTTTTAAAAATAATTTTAGAAAAGCTTCCTAAGTCTCCCAATGCAATGAGAAAAGTTCAACTTAATTTACATGGTGTTTATGTCCCAGGTTATACCTTCTCAAAGTATGGCTTCTGAGCTAAGGAAATTGTTCCCACTCTGTCTTTATTGACCTTCTCTGGGCATGACTTGGGCTCCTGTAGGCCACGTCAGGGACGTGGGTTGTGAGCAGGTTCTATCCACTTACAGTTCCTCCTTTGGGCTGTGATTGGTGGACAGCTGCATTGTGACTAGCATCTCAGGGCAAAAGCCCAGGCTCTGGCAGTCCCAGCAGGTTACTCCTGGTCAGGCATCCAATTTACCAATTAAAGAGAGATGATGAGGGGAGAGAGGTAATTTAATACATATACTCATTGGAAAGAGGGATATCAAAACGGATCTAATTACTCAAAGTTCATCGTCAGGGTGCTGACATTAGCTTAAGTTTATAAAGGAAAGAATAATTGGGGTAAGGAGTAAGAGGTATGCATAACTATGCAGTCTCGGATTTGGTTAGTCATTTTCTAAATTCTGGTTCTTCAAGATGGTCCAAAGAAGCTATTGTTTGAGAGGTCAAGGTGGTTCTGAGATGACTACTTCTGCTCCAGAGTACAGCCCCTGCTGTGGTGGATTAGTGCCTATTATGGGGGGGGGGGCGGCCTGTTTTACAAGGCTCTTACAAGGCTCTGCCATTCTTTGAACTCAAGGTGATTGAAGAACTTTAGGTACTTTTGGGTATTTAGAGCAAGACTTTTCTTTTATTGCTTTATAAATACTACCACTCAAAATTTCCACTTCCTCCACTCCTCCCACTTCCCCACAACCTCTCATCTTGCTACTAGTAATATTAGGACCATAGTGAGCAGTCAGCGCTTTTCAGCTAAAGTAGCTTCTGTGCCCATTACAGCACACCTAACCTATTCTTGACTCATTCTAATGCCCATTGCATGAGGAATCCATGTTTATTATTAACGTTAAATGAGATAATGAATAGGCCACTCTTAGCACAGAGTCTGGAACATTTTTCACTAAGTTGTTACTAAATGTAATCTGTGATTATGTTAGAACACATCCCTCCTTCATGCTTGGTTTAACCTGTCTTCTTTTGGGAAAATTTTTGAGGAGATGCTAGTAAAAAAGCTTTCCCTTGAAAGACTTTGCATCTCCACTTTCTCTTTTGATTTTTATGACTGGCTTGTATGTTTATATAGGTTATTACCATTATTCTTATCAGACATAAGGTAAAACTACAAATCAGTTAAGTGATTTTTTACCAAGGCAACATGAGGTACTGTTTTGTCCACAGCAACATTTGAGAAGAGAATGTGACTTGTAATTTGTAGATAATCTTTGGGAATAGAAGAGAAAGTAGAAGAAACTGAGGCAATAGAGGAATATTTGATACAGGAAAGATTAGATTAACAAGCATAAACATTATTTCAGCTGCTCAGTTGTAAAACATTGGGCAAGTATATAAACTCTTTTTGCTTTCATTTTCTTATCTGTAGAATGAAACATTATTATTATCATCATCATCATTCTTGATCTTCTGGGGATGCTGTAAGGGTTAATTAATTAGCATTTTTAAAAAGTTTAAGGAAGGGTCTAAAACAGAGTTTTATTCAAATCTTATGCTATCTAAAGCAACAACAAAAATAGTTGGGCCATGTCTGGGTAGAGGATTTCAAGTTCAAGAGCATCATAGGCTATACAACAAGATTCTGTATAAAAAATATTTAAAAACAAAAGAAAGAAAGAAAGAATGAAAGAAAGAAAAAAAATTGAAGACAAGTATAGTGAGCCAAACTTTTAAATCTGCTCATTAAATGAAATAACAGGAGTTTGTAGCAAGGTTCTCTTCAGCTATCCAAAGACTCTAGCTGCACACTAAATAAGCTGATATAAAGTTTGTGTAATTCTGTGTGTAGCATGTGAGTATGGGCTGGCAAGAGCACCTTTGAGGACTGTCTCCTGAAGAGAGACGCTATAAAGAAATCCCACACTAGTGCAGAACTGAGTACAATAAAGGGTTATTTATTTAGGGGTAGACTTACAGATTACAGTCCTCTGCTGGAACAGGAAAACAACAAATAAATCCAGCAGCCGGAAGAGAGTACGAGTTCATGCTTTACCTCGGCATTTATAGTATAAGAGGCCACGGCCAAGTGGGTGGGTAACTTAAACGCTACTGGCTGAAGAATTTTCTACAGCACCTTCCTCTTTTGTTTAAATAAGAGAGTTCTAAATCTAATAAAGTATATATATATACAATAAGAACAAATACCAAGTGTAAAAATTAGAATTACAACCAGCATAAACAATATAAAGCAAGATACATGATAAATGTTTCAATAATTTTCCTATCCTAAGGAGTCTAAGTCTTATAGTCGAACTATAAATATGACAAACAGGGATGACTATTGACCTATAACTCTTAATACCTATATAACTTAAAGACTAAGATTTAATATTAGAATATTAAACAATCTTTAAACAACTGTGCAACAAATGAGGACAATGACCTCAAAATGCAAACAATGTATAAGTATCTTGATCAGAGGTAGAAATGTATATTGCAATACAATAAATATATCCTAAAATTGTATCAATATACAAAATGTTTTAAGCAGAGGTAGAAGCATGCATGCATACAATATGACACAATAACTTTGCCTAGGTGTCCAAATATTGTAGACAAATATAGGAACATATTCAATATAATTTAAATTTGTATCAATATACAAGAATCTATACCAATGTAAATTGCCTATAAATAATAGCTCACAAGTATCCACTCTATTCCTCACTATTATTATTAGTGTAAACTCGCACTAATCTATTATTCCATCCAATTTTCTTTTTTTTCCCAAAGAAATCCCTGAGCCTTCATAATTTCTCCCCAAACCCCCAACCCTATACCAGTTATAATCAATCCCTAATTGATGCCCTGAGGACAAACTTTGTTGGGAGAGGGGACATCATCTTCTAGAATTACTTCCAGATGTCATGGGGCAATGTTCTTTCTATGGGATCCTGTGAAAGTAAAATGATGGTTAAGTTTAAAGATTACTCTCTGGTATAATTGCAAATAGTCTCTGAGTATTCAGTAGGGTTTTTCTGAGGTTCCTATTTGGAGTTCTGGCCAGAACGCTGTAAAAAGGTGCACCATTTCAGCTAACCAAGTTGGAACCATCTTGAACATCTGGTACCCAAAACAGGTCGTATAGTAGTGCAATCAGCATCATAACCATGCCATATCAACCAGGTGGAGTTGTTGTTGTGGGGCTCCATCTTCTTCCTGGAAACTTCAAAAATTATTGTAGGAAAATTCATTATTCATTGTGGAAAATTTAAACATTATTTCTAGAAATTTTTTGTCCACAATCCTTTCTCAGATGTCCTATCCTACCACAATGAAAACATTTGGCATTTTGATGTCTCCTCACACCTTTGTAAATTGCTTCTCCTATCCAAGATTCAGTATTATAGTCAAATGTCTCAATGTTCATTGTATGAAGGATCCATTCATCCACTGGTGCTGACCTAACCTTTAAAGGCCCAAGTATCTGTTTGCATTTTCAAAAGTATCAGGCATTTTCAAAAGTCAGAGATTCAGTAAGTACTCATCTAGCATCTGGGTCTGTTACTCCTATTTGTACACCCTTATTTAATCTTTGTAAAAAGTCAGTAAAGGGTTCTCTCTGGCCCTGTTTAACTCTGGTATATGATTCAATTAGATTTCCTGATTCTTAAATCCTGTCCCAAGCATTTAAGGCTGCTTTGTGGCACAGGAACAAGATTTGTTTATTGTAAAGAGCTTGAGCCTGTGGGTCAGCACAAGTGCCCTCACCAAGAATTTGATCTTGGGAAGTTTCAAGTTCTTTTGCTTTTCCCGGTTGTTCTAAAAATTTTGCCTCTTCTCTCAAATAACATTTCCACAGTAGTTGGGGCCCGTCATCCAGGACTGCTGAAACTAACTGAAGCCAGTCATATGGCATCACTTTATTTTTTTCTATGACTTTTTAGTATAGTTGGTTTATTTATTTATCTATTAAAAATTTTCACTTCCTCCCCTCCCCACATTTCCCTTCTCCCTCCTCTCCCCCTCCCTCTCCAGTCCTAAGAACAGTCAGGGTTCCCTGCCCTGTGGGAAGTCCAAGGTCCTACCCCTTTCATCCAGGTCTAGGAAGGTGAGCATCCAAACAGACTAGGCTCCCACAAAGCCAGTCCATGCAGTACAATCAAAACCCAGTGCCATTGTCCTTGGCTTCTCAGTCAGCCCTCGTTGACAGCCCCATTCAGAGAGTCCGGCTTGATCACATGCTCCATCAGTCCCAGTCCAGCTGGCTTTGGTAAGCTCCCATTAGATCAGTCCCACCATCTCAGTGGGTGTACGCACCCCTTGCGGTCCTGACTTCCTTGCTCATGTTCTCCCTCCTTCTTTTTCTTTTTAATATGGCATCACTTTAATGCTAGAAGCCCGTGTCTTTACCATCTCCCTGACAAATGCTGAATGTAAAACATAAGATACTACTGCTTGCTTAATTTCTTTTAGATCATTCATTCCTGTAGGTATCCATTTACCTTCTTTGGATCCTTTTGGGCATTTAGAACTTGATGCTTTGTCAGAGTAGATTACAGTGTAGGAAGCTAAAACCCTGGGTAAGTCATCTCTGACAGGTACTGGCAATTGAATCCTGTCCTTGTACCTTCTTTCCCTGTTCATCAGCTCCAATAATTTCCTCAATCATTTCAAATATTTTTCTTACTGTCTTTTGTAAAGCCTGAATCTCCTGGCCTGTAATATTTCTAGTGATTTCATTGAGGCATCTAACCTCTGGTCCTCATTCTGCACATGTGATTCTAAGGTCTGAGGTTTTTTCTTTAAAGATAAGATCTCATATGTTGACTGAGTTTTTTGTCTCACCTGGTCTTGCAGCTGTTCAATCCCAAAGAATCACACAGAGGTCTACATTAATTATAACATGATTGGACTATTAGCTCAGGCTTTTTATTAACTCTTGTAACTTATATTAGCCCATAATTCTTGTCTGTGTTAGCCATGTGGCTTGGTACCTTTTTCGGCAAGGCAGTCACATCTTGTTATTTTGCTTCCTCTGTGGCTGGGTCATGACTGCAAATTAAAACTTTCCTCTTTCTATCATCCTTATTGTCACACCTATACTTCCTGCCTGGCTATTGGCCAATCAGCATTTTATTAAAAATAATACAAGTGACAGGATAAAAGACCATTGTCCCACAGCACTCATCCTTGGACATTATTTGGATAGTATACAGATTGCCTTCCTGGAGAGATACTCTGTCTGCTAACCTATCATAACTTTTTAACAGATTTTGATTGTAAAATTCAACAGTATGAACTATTTCAGATAATTTCTCAGTACCTTTTGACATGGACTGAATTTTGTCTGTCAAATTAATGTTATCCTTTTCAATAGTATTAATTTTTTTCAGGTAATTTTTGATTTTTCGATGGTATTAATCCTGTCTGCTAGCTGTTCATTATTAGTCTATAAAGACTGTATTATTTCTAAAAATACCTCATTCTTGGCTCTGTTATCAAACCATTTTCTTAAGGATATAGTATGCAAAAAACTGAATCCCAATATCCAATAAATGGATGTATCACAATAACCATATAAGTCTTGCAGAATAGAGTCCATAGTTTTAGCAAAATGGTTATTAAAATTTTGCATGTTAATGTTTTCTGTAATTATATAACTTTCAAGTTTATTGATTTATTAGTTAATCAATTAGTTACCTGTGTTATGAGATCCAGCAAATTGTTTGAGGTGTAATAAAATATATCAACCAGCAGGTGTCACAGTTGCAGAGTCACCACTGGGGGTGCAACTGGTAGCAGCAGGAATAGTCCTGCACAGCTTCAGCCTTCTGCCTTTTTTGTCAGATACTGACAAAAATGCTTTGCTTGACAAACCAAAAGCAATCAAATCAACTCCATACACGGAGCAAGGAGCCCAGAACTCGTGAGCAGGGAGCACAAACCAGAAGCTGCACAAGTCACCATGCTGCAGTGGTAGGGGGGAATGTGCACGAGCTTGGGAAATTTCCAAGTTGCCACGCACTTAGCTTCACTGTGGTGGGGGTTTTACAAAAAAACCACTTAGTAGGTGAAATCAAGCCAGGCGGGTAGGGGGCGGAGACCTTCTTGGCTGTTGACCTTTGGGCCTTTTGGACCGGTTCACCCGGTAGGTGTGGAGTTGGGATCCATGTGGGGCACCAGATGAAGATGGACACTAAAAAAATAATTCTACACTAGCTCAAAATTGAGTACAATAAAGGGTTATTTATTTAGGGGTAGACTCACAGATCACAGTCCTCTGCCTGAATAGGAAAACAGCAAATGAATCCCGCAGTCAGAAGAGAGCACAGGCACACGTCTTACATCAGCATTTGTAGTATAAGAGGCAACCCAAGAGGGCAGGTAACTTACAGGTTACTGGCTGAAGGATTTCCTACAGCAAAATAAGTTTCTGTACCCAAGGTATTATGAGAAGAAATTAGAAGGAAAATTTAAAATAGTTTTCTGGCATGTGCTTTATAATTGCTAATATTTTAAAATAGAACAAAAGAAGCTAAAAAATAAAAAAACAAAAGCTAATAATTGAGCTAGCCATATAAGTGCCAAAGCCTTTGACTGTCCCACCATCAGTAGTTAAAGAAAGCATTTAAAAAGCGACCTTAAGATAAACTATTTTGATTTGGCTTACTATAAATAATCAATGTAAACTGGCTATACAGTCATTCACATCTATTTGGTTTTCATGGTTAAAAACATAATTACCTTTTTTTTGAAAGGTTTTAAAACAGAAAACGTGTTTATACTTTTAAAAGTACTTTGTAATATAAGGAATTTTGTTTAATCAAGGATTAATGTTTTTTAGAACTGATATGTCTTAGAAGGAGAAAAGGAGAGAATGAGATTAAGGAGATGTTCTATATTCAGTGCATTTTACATTTAGAAAATACATCCATTCCCACATAATTAGGTGGTTACTCACTTTGCAGGACCCACACACTGACATGGCCATCTGTTTCTGTGTTACTGATGCCCTTTCTGCCCTGCTCCCTATGACAATCACTCCTGTCACACTCCTGTACCTTCTCTCCTCTCAGCAGATGATTGGTGACAAGAACAATAAGGGCACATCATCTTACTTAAATACGCTCAAGAAAGACACAAAGACCTCCATGACAAATTTATATATGGAGATAGTAATAATAAGTACATGTTAATGGTTTTGGTTAAGAGGCTCAGTCTCCTGAGTTGTTACAGAGTGTACATAAAATGACAATGGGGCAACATTTCCTTACATTTCAGATTAGCAAGGAGTTTTAAAAGTAAGAGCTGCTGACCCTGATAAAAGGTCTGGTTAAACCCGAGCTCATTTCCACTCAAATGATATGGAAATGAGTGCGCAGCTTTCAACACATTCATGCTCTTTGACCTTGCAATTCTACTTGGAGTTAGCGTTATACAAGGGCAGACTGCAGCAAGAGGGGGGTGCTTGCAACGACTTGTTCATTTTAAGTATATAGTGGCAAGTAAGGGACAGATCTGAGGTCGTACATGTATTTTGCCTTTTAATCCTTATTAACTCCACAAGACAGATATTGCTATTTCTTTTCTTTGGGTGTTACTGCTGCTGTTGTTTTTTGAGACAAGGTCTCATTTTGTAGTCTAGTTATGTAGCTTAGCCTAGCCTAGCCTTCAAAACTTGTGATCTTGAGTGCTGAGATTACAGGTGCATATCACTATGCTTAACTTTGAAATGGTCAGTTATTCAACTGTTACATGTAATACTTAAGAAGTACTTGATGTTGATGATATAAAACGTTATCTTAAATTTTTTTATTTGTTCCTTTCTTCCTTCCCCCTTCCTTTCTTTCTTTTCTTTCTGAGACAAGGTCTCACTATATAACCCTATCTAGTCTGGAACTCTTTATGTAGACCAGGATGACCTCAAACTCACAGAGATCCAATTGACTCTACCTCCAGCACACTGGGATTAAAGGGGTGTGTTCTGAATGGATTGGAATATTTTAAAAAGATGTATCAATGTTCAGTTGCTAATTACTTGGGTTCTAGGCATGTATGATTGGTTTTCAAGAGCAAAGAAGAAAAAAAAGTTTTGTTTTTATTTGATTTGCTTGTAGGGCAAGACTGTATGGAATCACAGAGACCTCCTTTGTGGGAGAAATGGATTGGGAAGAAAACAATCTGTAGAATTTGATGAGAGGACTTCAGAAGTTTAAAAGATGATCCCTGATGTTATCTGTGAAGAAAGAGGGCCCAGGACAAAGAGTTTCATTTCCCATCAGATAGACCCAGTATTTCAGGTCAGCACCAGATCTTCTCCCCACAGAGGTATAGAAAAAAATGGTTTTACTTTTTCCCTACACATGGGATAAAGTGCTACTTGTTTTCAACTGTAAGACTATACTAGATCACATTTCCCAACTTCAAAATTGTTGTAAGGGAAGGAGCTGCTTGTTAGTTCTGGCCACCCGGCTAGCTTACACCTGAAATAACCACACAGAAACTGTATTAGTTAAAACACTGCTTGGCCCATTAGGTCTAACTTCTTATTGGCTAACTCTTACATCTCAGTTTAACCCATTTCTATTAATTTGTGTATTGCCACATGGCAGTGGCTTACTGGGTAAAATTCCCAGCATCAGTCTCTGGCGGATCCATGGTGTCTCTTTCTTCCTCCGCCTTTCTTCTTCCCAGAATTCAGTTCTGTCTTCCCTACCTACCCAAGTTCTGCCCTATCAACTAGGCCAAGGCAGTTTCTTTATTAACTAATTAAAGCAACACAAAGACAGAAGCATCTCCTACACCACAAAATTACTGAAGAACAACCAAAATTAAAATACTTTGGAACAAGCATGAAGATTGTGTTATGGTTTGACGATTTGTATCTACCTTCAAAATTCATTTGGACCTTAACCTTCAATGCAATAGTATTAGGAGGTGAATCCTTGGGGAAGTGATTAGGGCACGAGGATTCTGACTTTGTGGACAGCTTATCAAATAGTTGGAGAGAACTAGCTAGTTCTTCATCCTTTTCACCATATGAGGATATAATAAGAAAGTGCCACCTGGGAAGTAGAGGGCAGTTCTTATCTGAAACTTCCTATTACCTTGAGCAGGCATTTTGACATAACAGTCCAAACTAAAACACACACACACACACACACACACACACACACACACACACCTATCAGTTAAACAGATTCAGCAGATAAATTCATGTTTATGGTTATCTAACCTTGGGGAATGAACTTAAGCCATCAGCATGTTAGGTAAGTACTTTACTGTAGGGAGCCACCTGGAGGCACAGGTGGTCCTGCAGTTTGGAGGTATACAAGTCCATACCTGGCTTAGCCACGTGGGGCTGAGAACCCTTGCCTGCACATGCGCAGACCAGCAAATGGTATTAACCAATCAGGACAGCATTCAAGCCTCTCCACCGTTTAAAAGCAGCTGCCTCTGGGCTCTGCTTCCTCTCTGGCTTCCTCTCTCTAGGTTCTCTCTGGCTTCCTCTCTCTAGGTTCTCTAGGTTCTCTCTGGCTTCCTGCTCTCTCTCCTGCTCTCTCTAATCTCTCTTGTCCCTGTGCTCTCAGCTTGCTCTCTCTCTGAGTCTTTTCTCCCCAATTTTCCTCAATCGAGTGACTCCGAATAAAGACGTGATAGGGAAGGAATCTCGTTTTCGTGGCCGTTCATTCCTGCTGGTCAGGAAGCGCACCGCACTTTACCACGGAGCTACCTCCTCAGCCCTTTAAAAAGTTTAATTTGACACAAGATTTTGCTAAGTTGCTGTTGTATGACAGACTTTTTCTGGTGACACAAAACACATAAAAATAGTTAAAAAATATAAAAGCAGTTTCTAATTAATTTATGTACTAAATCAATTTCTAGTGTATTCAAAATGTGTGCCAATAACAACCACTCGATTTAGTCTAAGGCAGTGGTTCTCAACCTTCCCAGTGCTACAACACTTTAAATATAGTTCCTCATGTTGTAGTGACCCCTAAACATAAAATTATTTCATTGCTACTTCATAAGTATAATTTTGATATTGCCATGAATTATGATGTAAATATCTGGCATGCAGGTTAGCTGAAATGTGACCCCCAAAGCAGTAGTGGTCCACAGGTCCAGAACCACTGGTGCAATGCCTATATGAACCAGATCTTTGGTTTAAAAAGATAATAATTGTAATTAACAAAGATGTCAGTAATTATATTTCAAGAAACAGTCAAGTTATTTTATTTTCACTAACAGCATATCTGTCTCTTTGTGTGTGTATATATATTTATATATATTTGTGTGTGTATTTATGTATATACACATTGGCACATATTCACATGGATAAGATTTGACTTATATTAATCCAGGGACAATAAATATCAGCACTGTTTACATTTTACATTCGTGTATTTTGGTGCTGTGGGACAATGGTCTTTTATCCTGTCACTTGTATTATTTTTAATAAAAACGCTGATTGTCCAGGAGGCAGGCAGGAAGTATAGGTGGCGTGACCAAGCAGGAAGTAGAGGTGGGGCCACGAGAACAGGAGAATTCTGGGAAGAGGAAAGATGCAGTCTGCAGTTGTCACCAGGAAGCAAGATGAGAATGCCTCACTGATGAAGGTACCAAGCCACACGGCTAACATAGACAAGAGTAATGGGCTAATTTAAGATGTAAGAATTAATTGATAAGAAGCCTGAGCTACTAGCCCAACCAGTTTATAATTAATGTAGACCTCTGTGTGTTTCTTTGGGACTGAATGGCTGCAGGACCAGGTGGGACAGAAACCTCTGTCAACATTTTGAGACAAATACATATGTGTATTTCGGGACAGTTTATGTCGTCCATGGCCTCTCCACACTGGATGCTAACAGTCTCCCAGCTGTGGCAATCAAACTTACCTTTAGAAATTGTCAAGTACTGCCTTCAGGAATAGGGAGGTAAGGGTAAATTACCCCTGTTAAAAAAACAAAAATAAAAGTAAAACTGACAAGCGCTAATTTTTGGTGACACACTTCCTTCAACAACACCACGTCTACTCTAACAAGGCCACACCTCCCAATGTTGGTAGTCCCTATGGGGCCATTTTCATTCAAACCACCACACTCCACTCCCTGATCCTCATAAGCTCATAGCTATGTCATAGTGAAAAATGTATTTAGTCCAACTTCAAAAGTCTCATAGTCTCTCACAGTCTCAAAGTTGTTTAAAACCTGAAGTTCAAAGTCTCTTCTGAGACTCATGGCAATCTCTTAACTGTGCCCAAAAAAGCAAAAGCAAAAGCAAAAGCAAACCACAAACTTCCAACATACAAAGGCACAGGGTATACATTAACATTCCAAAGGTGAGGGAAGGGAACTTAAAAAAGAAATACTGGACCAAAGCAAGACTTAAAAACCAGCTGGGCAAACTCTAAACTCTGTTCAGCTTTGTTGACTGCAGTATACTTCTTTCTCTTGGGCTGGTTCCACTCCCAGTTAGCAACTTTCCTTGGTAGTTTTTCTACAATTCTGGTATCTCTAACATCTTGGATTCTCCAAGGCAATCCAGGCTTCACAGGTCATCTACCTTCACAGTTTCATGCAATGACCTCTTTACTAGGCCTTAATTCAAGGACATCCCTGACATATGCCTAGTCCCAGTGGCTTTCCTTACACGTGGAGGTAATTTCCATAACTCGTTTCTTCTCTCCTTAACTCTAAAGCCCGAATCACATGGCCAAAGATGTCAAGTTTTGTTGCTTGTTGGAGTTGGAACATGGCCAATGGAATTAATCCAAAATTCTTTTTTTTTTAAAGATTATTTATTATGTATGCAGTGTTCTTTCTGCCTTCAGGCCAGAAGAGAACACCAGGTCTCATTACAGATGGTTGTGAGCCACCATGTGGTTGCTGGGAATTGAACTCAGGATCTCTGGAAGAGCAGCCAGTGCTCTTAACTTCTGAGCCACCTCTCCAGCCCTCCAAAATTCTTCATTTCAGCTACAGACAAACTTTTTGGACTGGGCGGGGGAGGGGGGGAGTAGCCACTTCCTTCAGCAAAATATCATAAGAATGAGCTCTAGGCAACATAAAAAAATACTTCTCCTCTGAAGCCTCTGTGGTGGCACCCTAAGTTCATCAAATCACACTCAGTACCACTGTCTTCCATGTTCCTATAGTATGGCCCATTTAGCAGCACTTAAGCCATTCCATTGCTTTTCTAATCTACACTCCCAAGGGCCATATTCTTTCAATCAAAAGCGTCGTCAGGCCCAATACACCAATATCCCAGTTTCTGGTACCAATTTCAGTTTTAAGATGTCCTCAGCCAAGGAAATTAATCCAAAACTTTTCACTTTAGACTCAGGCAGACTTTTGGACAAGGTAAAAAAGCAGTCACATTCATCACCAAAATACCACAAGAATGATCTCTATGCTACATATTAATATTCTTCACTTCTGTAACTTTTTGAGCAAGGTCCCCAAGTTCATCAGATCACACTCAGCTCCACTGTCTTCTATGCTCTTACCAGTATGGCCCATTAAGCAGCACTTAAAGCATTCAACTACTTTTCTAACACATAATCCTATATCCTATATCCCTTCAAACAAAAGCATGATCAGGCCTATCACAATACCCCACTCCTGGTGCCAACTTTCGTCTTAGTTAGAGTTTCTATTATTTGTGAAGAAACACCATGACTATGGCAACTCTTCCAAAGGACAACATTTAATTGGGTGGCTTACAGTTCAGAGTTTCAGGCCATTATCATCATGGTGGGACATGGCAGGGTGTAGCCAGACATGGTGCTAGAGAGGTAGCTGAGAGTTCTATATCTTATGCAGGCAACAGGAAGTGGTCTCACTGGATGTGGCATGAACATATATGAGACCTCAAAGCCTACCTCTATAGAGACACACTTCCTCCAACAAGACCACACCTACTCCAACAAAGCCATAGGTTTACTATAGAAGAAAAATCAATGAGACAGAAGATTGTCTTCTGAGAAAATAAATGATCATGAGAATTTTAAATTGTCAATAGTGGTAGTACATGCCTGTAATCACTGCCTCAGCTTGGGCTACACAGTCTTTTCAAGGCCAACCTGGACAAAATTCTGCTTCAAAAAACAAAAAAAAGGTGGGGGCTAGAGAGATGATTCAGCAGTTAAGAGTATTTTATGTTTTTGCAGAGGATCTGGGTTTGGTTCCTAGTACCCACATGCTGGCTTACCATCATCCTGAACTCTAGTTTCAGGGTATTCAGCACCTTCTTATGACTTCTGCTGGCACTTGGCACACATGCAGTGCACATACATACATGCAGTCAGAAAACCCAGATACATAAAAATCTTTAAATATAAATCAGTGTAACACATGGCTTCAGCATGGCATAGGAATCCAATTCTGACAAACGTTTCTTCACTGAAAACTGCTGAGAAAGGCTTGCCACTGAAACTGAACCTGATAGAAGAATTTTGTACGTGTAGAGACATACAAGACCCTCTTCATCTTCTCTGTGGCCAACATGAGGAACAGCAAACTGAAGGACACCTGAAATGCTTAGAATCACAGCCAGATTATTTTTGGCAAAATCATGGCGATGATTATGGGTTTATGTTGAATTAAGTGCTACCAAGTCAGCAAGAAGTTGAGGAGATGAATGAGTGGTTCAAAAAGTATATGGAAGTAGAGTTTGCCTGAGATGGGAACAAAGTAATTTTTACTGTGGGCCTGGATCCAGTGTGGCTAGAGCAGCATTCCCCCTCCATAAAGTCATAGCTGAGGCAGCTGGGCCCATCCATTGCCCTTAAGAGGGATGTGTCAACCCTGCATCGAACTAAAAGTTATGCAAGTAGGGTGATGCAGACCCCAGGACAGTCCCCTGTCCTAATGTCTATTGGGTATGAGATGTCTTAATTCAAAGTGGCCATCAAACCTGGGCCAGTGAAGGAGCCGGCGCGCCTCAAGATGTACCATCTGACCTCACCCATGCTGCCACGGGCCCTGGCCCAGGCCGTGCGAACAGGACATCACAGTGGCCGAAGCCTCCATAGCAGTGCAGTGGCAGCAACATACAAGTATGTGAATGTACAGGAGCTGGACATGGACATGAAGTCTGTGACTGACCGTGCAGCTCGGACGCTGATGTGGACAGAGCTCATCCGAGGACTGGGAATGACCCTGAGCTACCTGTTTCGGGAGCCCGCCACCATCAACTACCCATTTGAGAAGGGCCCACTGAGTCCACGCTTCCGGGGAGAACACGCACTGCGCCGCTACCCATCTGGGGAGGAACGCTGCATCGCCTGCAAGCTCTGTGAGGCCGTCTGTCCTGCGCAGGCCATCACCATTGAGGCTGAGCCAAGAGCCGATGGCAGCCGCCGGACTACACGCTACGACATCGACATGACCAAGTGTATCTACTGTGGCTTCTGCCAGGAAGCTTGCCCTGTTGACGCCATTGTGGAGGGCCCCAACTTTGAGTTCTCCACTGAGACACATGAGGAGCTGCTGTACAACAAGGAGAAACTGCTCAACAATGGGGACAAGTGGGAGGCTGAGATCTCCGCCAACATCCAGGCTGACTACCTGTACCGGTGACCTGGCCACCTGGCTCAGTCCCGTGGCCCCTGCTGCCCATAAAGAAGCTATGTTGTGTTGTAAAAAAAAAAAAAAAAAAAAACAAAAAAAAAAAACAAAGTGGCCATCAAATACATATAGGATGCACAGTCAGAAAGGTTCCAGCGGATAAACCATTACCTGCCACGGAGTTCACCTGAGTCTAAAGAAGATCCCCAAGAGGATGATGATAGTTGACTCGGGGACTCAGGACGGAAGTCTTCCCATTTATTCTTTGTTTCCACCGGACCATTCAGGGCTGCTGCCACCCCTATGTAGGGAGCAGTTATTTACTTCGCTGCACATGAAGAGAAGAGAGGGTGATGGGAAATGACTGTGCTTCTGTAAAGAATAAAATTTTGTTTGTAGGGTGTCTCAGTACAGCAAGAGGAAAAATAAGGAGAGGATTTTTGATGATATGTAGAAGACAAAATAAACAATATGAAGAAATGCAATTTTGCATGTATAAATTTATCACACTGTACTCCATAAATACATATAAGTATTTCAAAAAAGAAGAAATAAAAAGAAAAAACAAAGAAAAAAAAGTCAATCCTAACTTAAACTGAGTCCTTGGATAATATAGTACCTTCCTTGTAGGGGGGTGGTAAGGGTGTGTCTATGGCTAAGAAATAGCCCAGCAATCATACAGAATGTGTGGGCCACTGATTTTGGAGACACAACCATCTTTCAGCACCAATAAGCTGGAGATAGTGTTTTCTGCATCAGAGTTATTAGGATGTATGTAAAACACTTTGAAGCGTGCATGACTCACAACTTCAAGAACTTTTTTCTTATTCACATGGTGTATTTTTGCTTAGTAGAATATCCTAAATACCTACTAAAAGAAATTAAAGATTTGTTCCCTTTACTGAAGAATCCACATAGTGAAGCCTTTCTAGAATTATCTGGAAGAAATACAGTACCCAGAAAATTGGTTCTCAACTTTCTTAATGTCGTGATCCTTTAATTCAGTTCCTCATGTTGTGGTGACCCCAAGTCATAAAATTATTTTCGCTGCTACTTCATAACTGTAATTTTTCTACTGTTATGAATCGTAATTTAAATATTTGATATGCAGGATATCTGATAAGCGACCCCTGTGAAATGGTCGGCGACTCACAGGTTGAGAACCGCTAGCCTATAGGCTTGCTGAACTCATGTAGGTGTTGTGTAGCGATTCCCTCCCAGATAAAATAGTTCATCTTAACAGAAGTTCAAGACACAGGAAAAGAGAAGTAAAACATTGCATCCTTGGAAGCTCTTAAACTCAGGAAGTAAACAACTCAAAGGCTTTGGGAAATTCCTGAAACTGACCAGATTCACTCCCTCCCCATGCATATATAATCAGTAAAGCTGGCTGAGAGATGATTCAGACAGACTTAGTTGTCTAGAAGAGATACAGATCACCTGAGTTATCTGAAAGAGACAATGTTCAACCTGTTGAGCTTTCTGCATGTTGTGCAGTGTTGTCCAGGTTTTCTTCTACGAGCTGTCAACACCACTGGGGTGGGCTTTTCGCGATGTAGCTATTTTTCAGTCATTTCTGCTCCTGTAAATAACCCTCACCCAAATTTCTGTAAATATAATTCCAATAAAATCCATTGGTTCACCAAGTTGGATTTTGGGGGTAGCCTTACTTTGGCCTCTGGGGGTGAGTAGATATTTGTTTACACCCCCCCCAATAGTGTTACGTCACAGCAGGCTACAGTGGTAGACAAATCTTCTGGGATGAACTAAGTGCACAGAAGCTTGGGCTGGGTTAAGCAGTCCTTAGTGATGTTTGTACTGAGGTGAGAGGACAGTAAAGTTCTTTGGTAGGGTGTTAGGTTGATTAGACCAAATTAGAAAGAGACAAAAGAGGAAGGGCTCCTAAAATAAATCTATCAAGCTTCGGAAAAGCACGTCCCTTTAGGTATCGAGAGCTGAGAGCCCAGGGCACAAGCTCTATTTGTTTCTTTGGGCCCACTGCACTCCGGGGAACTCCGAATTCCTACCCCAGCAAAGTCAGTCTGATGCAGGCTTTCTCAGTGCTCTGCTCGCTCAGGCTCCACCCTTCCCAACTGTCTGGTCCCTCTTCAGCTGCCCTGCCTTCCTCAGCCTAGCACCTTTCCTCAGCTGGGCCCCCACTCCCTATGCGCACCTCCTTCACCTCCTCAGCCCCTACTTCTCCTCAAGCCACCCCTTTCTCCCCAGCCGGTTTCCCTCTCCTCTGCCCTCACCCGTCCTTAGTCTCCCATCCTTCCTCGGCTAGTTCTGGGTTCCTCTTCCCTCACATCTCAGCGGTCCTCTGTGCGAGACGCACAGGGGCTCTGGATTTGCTCCTCCCCTTCCCTACCTCCCCGCCTCCTGCGTGGCCGGGGAGGGAGCCGGCGCTAGAGTCCGCATCCGTGTGCACTGGTTGCGGCAGGGCCCGGCGAGCAGGTGGAGCTCAGCCTCCCGCGGAGCCTTGGGCGGTGGACCGCAGTGACGAGGCCGAGACATGGCGGCCACGCGCCTCTGAGCCCGCAGAGCCAGAGCCTGACGATGCAGCTTGGCTGCTGACTGCCCGGGCGCGTGGCCCCGAGGATCCTCGCTGCGGTCATCACTCTGCAGTCTTCATGGTGTATTCCTCCTCAGTGCTTCCGGCCGTGTAGCCGCCGCTGCCGGCCGGGCCTCAGGGCACTCTGCCTATTCATCAGGCACTTTGCATCTTCACCTCCATTCCCATTTGCTTTTCCTTCCCCCGGCTGCTTCCCATCTCTCTCCGCCACCCCGCTATGGCCGCCGAAGAGGTGCTGCAAACCGTAGACCACTATAAGACTGAAATAGAGAGGCTGACCAAGGAGCTCACAGAAACCACCCACGAGAAGATCCAGGCTGCTGAGTATGGACTGGTGGTGCTGGAGGAGAAACTGACTCTCAAGCAACACTATGACGAGCTGGAGGCCGAGTATGACGGCCTCAAGCAAGAGCTGGAGCAGCTCAAAGAGGTGAGCTGCCTGTCCCCGAGTCCCCTCTCCCGGTCCGACATTTCTCAGCGCCAAGCATTATTGTAGAGGGGTCAGAAGGGATATGGCCAGAAGGACTTCATCTTAGAGCCCTTTGTTGATAAAAGAATATTGAAAGAGTTCATTGTTTTCATCAATAGAAAAATTGCCCAAGAAATGAATGCATAAGCTGGAATGGGAAAATCTTTAGCTTGTGGGGGCTGGGGGTAGGGAGAGTCACAAGAGTCTTCAAGTATCAGGGCTGGCAGTTAACACTGAACTGGGTTGAAATGTGTAAATCAAACTTCTAAAACTGCTGTTATTTCAAACCCAGTTATCAAATGACCGTTGCATAATCCATCCAACTGGCGAGGAGTTTTGTGTCTGAGAATCCCCACAATTTCAGGACGGTAGAATTTGGTACCTCAGCTGTCTGCTGAGTAACTGCTTCTTGGTGAAATAAGGACTAGTTATTAGGACTCACCACCCCAGGATGATACTGGCTTTAGTTCTTATTTATCATGGGCCTGCAGGAGCAAAACAACTTTGCTAGGTGGCTTTGCTGCCCTTAATTTCACCTCTGAGCCAGACTGAGCTATGCTTACGTTTTATGGAAGGTATACCGAGACAGAAAAATTAAACTCACCTCCAAATGGTGTGAAAGAAGGGTATATGTAAAATATATAAATATCCGTGCCTTGCCTGTCAAATATGGCCCTTCAAGTTGAAATGACTGAATTTATAAAGCCATAATATCACCAATGTTTTGTGAATAACATTTTTCTACTTTTATGTTTTTCTTCTTTTAAATACTAATGTACTGAAAGAAAATAGTGAATATGTATTTATGTCCAACCAAGCACTCATAAGGATTATCCGTATTATTTAAGGCACTGGAAGTAGCAAGTAATCAAATGTAAATGTTAATGCACCTATACATTGTTTACCTGTGTGACAAGTCTTTATTTTTAGGTGCATACTAACATTTTTAATGTTAGGTATATCGCAATATAGACGCAGAAATACTTTTCATATAATTTGTTTATTTTAGGGAAAGAGAAGGTCCTATTTTGTGGTGTTACAATTAAAATACATGAGTTGACATTCTAATCAATTTGTCTTCTAATTCATAAATAATACAGATTTATACCTTCAATTATGCTATTTTATTCAGCTGCTTAGATACCAAAAAAGATGTAAATAGATATGGTTGAAAAATCATAGATGAAAATATAATTTTTGTATATCAGGCTATAAATTCTAGTTCATGCTTTTCTTTCCATATTTATATTTGGTTTAAATGATATCTTTATTTACTTATATTTTCTAAATTAAATTATGTCTTAGACTTACATGATTAAATGTAGTGGTCCTAAACCTTGGGAAGTCAGGAAACAGATGATTATTGTAATTCTCAGAGATGTTTCCATAATGTCTTATTTATCAACTGCACTTTGCCAAGGTGGAGAAATGTAAACAAGTGTTAAGTCATCACTTTCTTGGTAGAAGAGGTGGGCTTATGTGATGATTTAAAATATGGTTGTTAATAGGCCTTTCTTTAGTTAAAAACACTTTTAAGGCTATTTCTGTGTTATATGTACTCAACATAGTATACCTTAATATGGTTGTCTTTTGTCTATAGTAGACAAAGAATTCTTAAGGGAATAGATTTGTTTATTTATTCATTTGAAGACAACAGATAAAATTATATGTATTTATCACATATAATATTGTGTTTTGCAGTATACATGCTATGACTTAATCGAGCTAATATATTACTTCATATAATTATTGTTTTTTGTGATAACCCAACACCCATTCTATATTTTTAAAGAGTGAATGTATTGGCTTTATAGCCATCATGCTGCACAGTGAGTTCCTTAAACTTACTCCTCCTGTCTAACTGTAAAAATGCATCTTTTCATCAACAGCTCTTCTTTTAAGCAATCAACACCTCTGATAACTACCATTTACTTCTCTGATTTCTTATATGAGTGAGATAATGAAATATTTGTTCTTCTGTGCCTTGCTTATTTAATTTAATTTAAGTCTTTAAAATAGAACTTAGCACATAGGTATAAGAATAAATATTTTATAAAAATCAATTTGTATTAGAAGTCACACTTTTACCAAGTGTTTGGAAGTCAGTATTGCTTAGTGTCAGATAAAGACTGAGAAAATTGAAGAGTGTAAGAACTGACTACCCATATTAGTTTCATTGACAGTAAAGAGAAAAAAGGGAAAATGTTTTATAAGAATAAAGAAGTTTCTTAACATACAATAATACAAACACCAACTGTATGTATTAAAATAAAATTTTAAGGAATAAATTATAAATTTATCAAATGACACTCATTTTCATTGTATTTTGATTAACATTTGTTATAAAGAAAACAATGAAGATTCTTAGTAAGGAGGATTGTAGCTATACAAAAAACTATATTTGAGATAGTAAAATAATTGTTATTATTTGTTAATAAGACTCGTTTTTATCTTTTAAATATGTTTTATTTTAGTTGAGAGCATTACTTAAATGAACTGAGTCAGTCTTAAATACAAATACAAAAACAAACAAAAATAATTGTGCAAGCCAAGATATTACGTCATATAGGAGCCTTTTAGTGGGTGTGTGTGTAGGTCAGAGGACATCCAAATGTTACTTCTTAGACAACTTGTTTTTTGAGACAGTATCTCTCATTGGCCTGAAACTCACCAAGTATGCTAGGTTGGCTGATCAGTGAACCCTAAGGAACCACCTATGTTTGCCTCCCCACTCCTGAGGTTACAAGTGTTAGGCTTTCCGCTTTTAATTAATTAATCAATTATTATTATTATTATTTTTTCTTATTTTTCTTACCAATCTCAGTTTTCACTCCCTCCATTCCTCCCACTCCACCTCCCCCATCCACTCCTCAGAGAGGGTAAGGATTCCCATGGCGAGTCAACAAAGTCTAGCACATTGCTCAGAGGCAGGACCAAGGCTCTCCCCTCCTATAACTAGGAGAATGGGTTCCAAAAAGCAAGTACAAGCAGTAGGGATAAATCCTGTCTCTGCCAGTGGCCCCACAGTCTGCCCCAGTCATACAACAGTCACCACATTCAGAGGGTCTAGTTTGGTCCTATGCTGGTTTTTCCCTTCCCCTTCCCCCTGCCCCTTCCCCCATTGTTAGGCTAGAGTAGGTGAGCTCATGGTCTTGATTCTTTCCAAGCTAGGTTTTTTTTTTTTTTTTTTTTTTGACAGGGTTTCTCTGTAGCCTTGGAGTCAGTCCTGGAACTAGCTCTTGTAGACCAGGCTGGCCTCGGATTAAAGGCACCACCACTGCCTGGCCCATGCTAGGGTTTTTTTGTTTTGTTTTTTTTTTTTCCAACTAAGCTGTTTCTCAACTCTGGAAACCATTGTTTTAAAACATTCTCTCTGGGGAAGGAGCAAGATGGCTCAGAAGGGAAGGGCTTTTGTTTGAATATGAGTTTGATTACTCTCCCTTCACTCTGCTCCTACATGGTGAAGAGAGCCCACTTTTGCAAGCTGTCTTCTTATCTCCACATGAATGCTAAACACACACACACACACACACACACGCACACACACACACAATGTAATATTTTTTTTGAGTGCACTGATTATTCAAAAGGAATTTTTGTTCATTATCAGTAAAATATAGCAAACAATATTGTTGTACTGCTAAAATGGCTTAGTGGATAAAGGTATGTTCACCAACCCTGAGGACCCACGTGGTGGAAGCAGACAATCATTTCCTGCAAGTTGTCCTCTGATCTACATACACATAATGTACACACATGTTGTACATATGTACACACACATAATGAATAAATAAATAAATGAAGTAATATTAATGCATTGTGACTTTGGAAAGTCAAGCATTAAAAACATTTTTGGCTTATTTCTGAATCTTTAAACAAATATGGTTCATTGAAAAGTACCTGGGGTGGGAATGTCAACAGAAAAAGTATAGTATTAAGTCCAAGTGGGGCAGTAGTAAATTTTGGTTGAGCAAAGGGGCTCAGTTTTTGCAGACTATCTTCCTTTCCGGGCTAGGTCCTGGTGTGACGACAATGCAGGGAAGGAGCACACACATGCACACACAGAAAAGAAAAGAACTCTACTAATATAAATGTACATTCGAAATTACTTACAAGTAGCCTAAAAAGCAATCACTTTCAATTACATTTCTGTTTTGACACAGTTGTTCAAATATGCAGTTTATTTGAACTTTTTTATTTCAACTCAAAATTTCATCTCTGGAAAAGCTAATTTCTCAAATTTCATTTAAACAAGATTTTATATTTTATTATCATGTTTTATAAACATGTATACAATCATAGTTTTGAAAACTTTCACCTCCAAATTTCTTGATTATATTTTTTACCCTAATATATCTTAAATACATGCTGTATTTCAATTTTGAGAATATAATAATTGCTTGAGTGTTGAAATATGTGATAAAAGTCTTTCTCGCACATGAAGTTGTGATTTTGAAGGAGATGGAATGTTAAAGGATAGAGAGCCTTACTATTAGAGCAGTTTATGATTTGGTCAGCATTTTGGAGGCAGAGACAGGTAGATATCTGTGAGTTTGAGATCAGTCTGGCCTACATAGCAAGTTCCAGAACAGCCAGGGCTACATAGAGAGACCCTGACTCAAAAACATAACAAAACAAATCAATTCCCCAAACAAAACAGTACTACAACAAAACCGGTTGATTATGTTAAAGGAGAAGCTATGTGAAATCATGTTCAGAAGATTCAACAGGGAAAAGTCAGTAGCCACATCTTGTCATGAGGATGGGGAGCCATTAAAAGTAAACAAAATAGTATTTAAGTATGTATGCTCTCTTACATCTTATCTCATTTAATCTTCACCGTAATTTAGAAGCTTCTTGCTAATTTTTACAAATAAAAAATAATAGGAAAAAAAGCATTGATCTATATAAAGCTCTATTTAAGGGTAAATGCATTGCATATCTTGTTTCTAATTCTTTAA